GAGTACAGCAAAAGTAATGACGAATTGAGGAAAAAACAAATTTTACAGAATATCTCAAAGCGTTTGCAACATATTCACCTATAGTAAATGATAAAATCTTCATTTTTTTCTCAAAAGATACGTCATGAAAAGTTCTAAAGCAGTTGTATAATCAAATCCCTATTGATTTATTCTGATGATTTACTGTTGAGGATGTGGATATAATTAGAGTATCACACTCACACCTTTCATATGATTGTAGAAGTGAGTGTCAAACAGAAAATATTAACATTTCAATATAAATATGATCGTTGATTTTATTTGTCCTTGGGTAATTTATCTAATTTGGAATATTTTTCATTAAAATCTCATTACTTATTTGATGAATATAAACGTACAATTTTATTTGTTTTTTCTTGTATGTCACATTTGAAAGAATTTATTTAACACAGAATTATCAATGCTCGATATGAGTTTATCGATGAAAATGACATTGTTATTGAAAAATAATATTAAAACAAATACTGCAATTTATCATGTTTAAATTTGAACAGTAGAAATTACAATTTCAGTGAAACATGAATTTTTCATTGGATTTACTATTTTTAATCTTAAGTTACAATCATGATTATGAGATGATTGAAATACTTCGAATAATCAAGTATATAAAATATTATTAATAAAATTAAAGTCAGTTAGGATAATTTAAATAAAAGCAAGTTCTCTCCTGCATGATTAGTATTCACATTTGTCAGCATTTAGAGATTTATCTTTCAATATGATAATGTACGAATTAATCATCGGTGTGGGTGAAGATTTCAATGTGTATCTAATGCGCAGTCACTCAGATCCTCAACTATTTTGAGAATCAACATTATCAATTTAATCTTTCAGAAAAATATTCCTATATGTGGCGCCTCCAATCGTACGAGTATGTAGACTATTTGATGATTCACTGATATCTGTTCGTATCCTATCTATGAATTATCGTAATGCATTGAAGTAAATAATTTTTATTAGTATTATATTTAACCAATCAATTCTAATGCTTCCACAATAGAGTCCATGTTTTCTTCAAAGTTATTGGATTCGACAACATTATTATATTATAATCCATATCGAATAACAATCGCATGCGAGCTCGTATGTCGAAAGCGAGTATATATGAATTTACTCCAATAGAACTAAATTTCCCTATTTTGTGAATTTCTTGGAGACTGATAATCGTACGGTTGTCTTTTTAAATATGTTTTTCTAGAATAACAATATGAAGATTGCTGTGTTTGGTGCAACAGGACGTACTGGTGTTTTATTTGTACATCAAGCTGTTCAAGAAAATCTCTATGTGAAACTCTACTGTCGTCCACAATCTCTCTCAAAACTTGGTTCATTAAAATCAAATGAATTTGTCGAAATTATCGAAGGTGAATTCGATGATGATTTTACTCCTGTAATTCAAGGAGTAGATGTAGTTTTAAGCTTTCTTGGACCGGGATTTTCTTGGCCGTCGAACAATCCTTTAGAGAAGGTGATGATCAAAATCATGGAAACGATGAGAAAAGAACGAGTAACAAGATTTCTTACAATGGGAACAGGATCTATTACTGATTCTCTTGATCGAAATTGGTACAAGATGAGAACTTGCGTATTTATCGTATCTTCTTTTGCTCGCAATGCGTATAATGATATCGTTGCCGTGGGTAACTTATTTAAAAGTGGACAATACGATGATTTAAAATGGACTATTGTACGTGTTGGTATATTGAAGAATGCAAATGAACCTACGGGAAGAATTCATGTCGGATATATTGGTGATGATGAAGCTTCAATATTTACTGAAAGAGCAGATTGGGCAAAATTTGTTCTTACAGAAATTTCAGAAGAAAAATGGATTAGAAAGTTACCGTATCTTTCGTCTGTTTGAAGACATTATCTATCTCAGTTGAGAATAATCTTTTGTGTTTTTTTAATCTTATAAAAAAATAAAAACCTTTGTACAATAAATAGACACATGAGAAGCTGTTCTTCTCCATCGAGATGAAAAAAGTCTTAGATTTAAATCACCGAATGCTCATATTCGACAAGTGTAACTTGCATCTTTCCGAATGTATAATTAGTTTTTATTAATTTTTGTTGAATTAAATGTTTGAATAATTTTCTATTTTTATCTAATTGTATAATTTGAATAAAATCTTGTCCTTTCGAGTTTTGTCGTTGTAAATTAGATCCTATTTGAATGAGAAATTGAATAATTCGATGTCGACAACCATTAACTTTGAGAGAGATATGAAGTAAAGGATCATTTCCATCATTATCAAATTGATTGATAAGAGATGGTGATAAGGTTAATAATTTTTCTATTAATTTACGTTCTTTCTTTTCTAATAGAATAAATATTAAATGTTTCTCAATAAACCAAATATGAAAAATATTTTTCTCTATGAGAATCTGAAAAATTTCTCTTCCTAAATGATCTCCTGTCATAATATTTATAACTTGTCGATTTTCATCTAAATTATTCAATATATTTTGTATATATTGATAATGATCACAAATGAGTAAGATTAGATCGAGACGATTTTTTTTAATTAAATTTCTTAGAGTTCGTTTCATAGTGTAAATTAAAGATTCATCCCATTGAGATACTTGTAAAACATGTTCGTTAAATAGAATTTTTAATATCTCCAATCGACTAATCTGAATAAATAGTTGATCATCAATAATAGAATTCTTGGAATTAGTCAACATGGATAAGATCTCAAAAATAGCTCCATCACACCAATCATCGTCACAAAATATTTGTTTTTGACATTGTATAATAAAAAGTGATAGATCTATCACAGATCGATAACAATTCATATTAACAGAAACACAATCGAGATAATTTGATAATCTATAATTAATACATTCGAATTGATAAATAACACTGAATAACAAACAATAGACTTGACAACCACCACAACCTATATCATCACGATTTTTTAATAGATTAGGATTGCAAAGAATGAGTAACTTGAATAGTTCAACAATAGAATGAGCATATTGTCGAGTGATGGCTCGAGTATTATCAGTATGAGCAAATAAGAATTTATTTAATGCTTTCGCAAGATTAAAATATTCGAAATGATAATCATTACATTCAAGACAAGCACCTCTTTGAAATATAAGCCATTCAATTCGTTTTAGATCACTTTTATGAAGAACATGATGTGATAAATCATTGAATAAATTTTTTAATTCATTGTTAACATTCAAAAGTTGTTCATTAGTAAAAGATTTACGTATAGTTTCAATATTTTCTGTATTTAATTCAAAGTCTTTTCCCAATTGAATATATTGTTCATTTATATAAAAAGCAACCAATGATTGAAAACATAAATGAAGTTGTTCTTCTGTGATCGAATTCTTCATAGATACTTCTTGAAATATATGAGAATTATCTAAATTTGTATGACATACATTGATGTGTAAGGAATCAGTTAATAAATGTAAACGTTTATCCAAAAGAATATTATTTAAACGTTGATTTAAACCGAAATATGTTCGAAATATAGTAAAAACATTACCAGAATATTTCATAATAATCATTAGAATTTCATTAGGAAGGATTTCAAAAGTAGACAACATATTTTCTACTTGTTGTTAATTAGAAAATGAAAAAAAAAATATATTTATTTATACTTTCGTTTTCTGTCGTTTTCTAGCACATCTTATTTCACCTTCGATAAATAATTACTCTTTCGTCTATTTTTCTTTTTCTTCCATATTCAGATATATTACATTGAAAAAACGCACATGTTCACAATTTCTTATACATTATAAAATATTTCTATCAGTGAATTCTTCAGTTAAAGTTTACTTTTTACAAATTTAATTTGATCGTGGAACAGTATCTTAGTTAAAATTGTCAGCAGAAAATAAGACGATTGTTGAGGAGAGATGTGCTAATGAAATATCTCGACTACTGTAAATGTGGAGGAAAGACCTATAAACATTTCTCCTTCTAGTTTCTCTCATATCTCATTAAAGTGTATTTTATGTACCGAGTTCGAACTCTAAAACGATTTAATAATTGAATCGATTCTCTTTTTTCTCAAGAAATTATCTTCTCTCTTTCAAAAAATGATCAGCAAAACAATTGGGCGAATTGCGCTACGGAAGCGATTTCGATAATATTTTAAAAATACTCCTCATTACACAATTGAAAAATTGATCAATATAATAGTTTATCGAAGATACATTTGTATCTTCTTTATTCTCTATAGTATATATCTTGTACAACGATATGACTATAGAGTTAATTAATACAATAAGCGAATATATGATATTCTTGTTTGATGAATGATTTCTAAGTGGACAAAAATTCATAATATTAAACATGCAGCAATACAAATATTAAAAAATCATAACTACGGCATTATAGCATTAATCAGAAGAAAGTCAGAATTTCTATCTTTTCTTATTATATAAATGTGTAACATATTGAAAACTACAATAAAATATAAAATAAATTGTTTTTTTTCATATTTATCTTTTAATTGTCTTGTTTATGCCATTGGTGATATGACGATATTTGTCCATCGATTTACTCTTTTATTTCGAGATGTTTAAATTCAATCTGTAAATTTAAATAAAATCTTAATTATGTAGGTTTATTTGTCTTTTATCCATGTCCACACCCTCAACAAATATATCATCATAATTTTCGTTGTTTTTACATGTGACTTTATAAAGGTGATCGTTATGAGTGAGTCATCGATGGCTATGTGTAATTTCACAATCAACGATATGACATAAAAAAGAGAAATATTGTGTAAGAACTCCTTATCATTTGTTTTTCAAGCGAAGCGATTGCTGTATAGCTACGATATTATTAGAAAAACAACGACGTCTACATTCAATTTGACACACGAATTAACCCAACAAATGTCTTCATCGAACAAGAAATCCCAAGTAATTATCGATTTGAATAAAATCCTAAATTTGAATGATTCTACTGAAATAAAACAAATGCAAACTGAATTTGAATCGAACGGTTGGTGTTTCGTCTTTTTACCAACTGAGCTTATTCCAGACTCAAATCTAATCAATAACATATGGGAATTTTTTAAATCTGGCTCTAATAAACGTAGACATTCACAAAAATCGTCTGTATATGGTTATTCTGTAATAAATCACAAAGAAGGAATCAAATTTTTGACTGGAAATTATTTTAACGAGTTTGCAAATAAAGGATTAGTACCAACGACACTTATTCAGCCGTTAAACTATCTTTCACAAGTATTAGATGCCGTAACAAAACGTTTAATCGAAATTCTTGATCAATATTCAGTATTTCAACAAGAACCATCTTTGTCAACACTTATCGAACGTGCCGGTCTTCCATTCCAGAGTGAATATTTTGGTATGCTTGATATTGTGTCCTATTTCAACAATAGAAATATTTTTAAACCAATGAGAAATGGACAAACAACTGAAGAAGTCAATTGTGTTCCACATTATGATCCAGGACTACTTTCAATTAGTATATTATCGACACATGAAGGATTACAATTGAAAGATATGATGAATAATGAATGGATAGATGGACCTTTACAATCAAATATTGGTGTTATTTGGTTAGGAGAAGCAGCATCTCGAATAACACAAAATCGACTTAAACCAGGTATTCATCGAGTCATTTATCCTCAAAAACGAAATTATCGATTGACAATGTGGTATGAACTATGTACAATTGAACAATTAAGAAGTATAAGCGTTGAAAAGAATAACGAACTAATGGCTGATGGAAACGTTACGTTTGAAAATCTTCCTGAAGCAGCTCCAATAACTGTTTTATCTGGAGAGACAAAATTGGATTTCTTGAAACGGGTTGAAGGAGCATATGGATTGTCAATGTTTAAACTAGGTCCACCAATTTATTCACTCGAAAAACATGTCATTTCATATCCAATAAATAATTTGAAAATCGAATAAAGAATACATTAAACTGATTTATGCAATACACTCATCCATTATATATATACATACAAAAAGAATTCTTCAAGATTATCGGTGACGATCGTTTTGAAAAAGTCTAGACTATTCATTTTTCTGTTGAGGTTTTTCTAAAGTAATTCATAGAGGATAGTTCACAGTCGGTCGTCAGTGTCCTTACGATCCTTTATTCTCGACTCCTCGATGTCATGAATCATGCGAGTATAACTCAGTACAGATCAATGATCATTCGCTTCTATGTTTAAATCTACTTCTCAATTGATTATCTTCTACTATTTACAATCTAGTTGATACAATTTTGTCTTCTTGTGAATAGTTGTTGAATTTGCAATAGCACAATTCTCCATAGAAACTTTCAAAGATCAGACTTTATTGTGAATTAGTAATCATTTCTTTAATGCCATTGTGAAAACACATGCGTATGAGGGTGTGGGTGTCTCTTAGCCATTATCCACACCCTTTCTATATATGTTGATAACGAGAAGTGTATCTACTACCGATAGGCCGAAGAAATAGATTTTCTTCTGAGCAACCCATATGAGTTACACCAACAAACTTGTTATTGATCGCTATAAAAAGAATATCGTTATATAAAGAACACATTGTTCAATACGAAAGATCAATTCTTTAATCATAATATGAGGAGTAAAACTTTTCTATTTTATTCGAACTTGCAACTAACAAGAGTAAGTGTGTATGGATTTTGATAAAGAACATATTATATTTCGTGATCTTAATATATTGATGTACTATATGTTGGAATTATTATATAAAGTATAGTTTTTGGTTCTCAATGCTGTTTCGACTGCTCTTCTTATTTACGATGGAGAAAAGGAATACAATACGTAGAAAAAAAACCAGTCTACAGCCAGACATTGGATCAGTACAAGTACACCCAGTAAAAGTACTACTTAGGACTTTACTAAAATACTTTTTACTGAAGTACATTGTACTCAGTACCAGTACTAAGTATAAATACTTGTACTTGTACTTAAGTAGGAATGTATTTTCGTACTTTTAAAAAAGTGACTAACATCCGAATTAATAACAAATTTCCTTAACAGCTTAGTAACATCTATAAAATGAATGAATATAAGTTATACTTAGCATAATATAAATGTTATTATTGTTAGTTCTTAATCAGAATTTATTTAGATAAATATCTCATTTGTCTCTTGTTCAAATTAGCTGTTTTCCATTCACAGATATTTTACTGATAATTTATATTTTTAACTGTTTGTTATTTTATTTTATTTTACATAAGAAAAAGTTATTATGCTAATCAACTGATGATTTTTTCTTATTCAATAAAATCATAAGTTTTTCTTAAAATGTTTTTTATATTAATTAAAAAAAAATTCATATGAACGTATCATCAAACAACGTTCATATCATTACTAAGAACTGGGAACCGAATCAAACTAAAAAAAGATAAAGTAATAGAATGTCAATTGAAACGGAATATCTATATAAGCAAATGTGTTAATAATATTTGAACGACATGAGGTCTGAAAAATGATTAAAGTGCTTTTTGTACTTAAGTAAATAAGTATTTAGTACAAGTCCCAGTATATTTTTTATAGTACAAGTAAATTTACTTAGTATTTAATATTTTAAATAAAAAGTACGAAAAGTACCAAGTATTGTACTAAGTATTCAATGTCTGTCTGCAACGATGGTGCAATTTGCCTCGGAAGAACAGAACGCTTTTCCTCATGTTCTATTTTTCCGTTCTTGTTTTTCTTCATTTTGTCGTCGTTAAAGAACACAACGAGAGAGTCGTTCTTATTCTTCATTCAGTCTCTTTTATACTACACATACACACACAAGCAACTCAGAGAATCGAATAACAGACGAATAAACTTTTATTTATAAATCAAATCGTTATGACAAGTACAAATAATACAGTAAACGAAATATCTCCATTAGAACATCAATCAAAATATATTTCTGAACAACCAATCGATCGACATTTAATAGAAATTACCGATGAGAAGGAAACAGTTTTCATGAATGCAGGCATTGATTCTACTTGGTATGTTTTTTTTCTTTTCTTTTTCTTTTTTTGTATACACACACCAGAAAGATTATTATAATAATAATCCACGATACGACGTCGTCGACGACGATTAAGCGACAGAAAGAAGAACGAGTAGATATCCAAAGTATACTTTAAATAGAAAAAAGAATCCATTGGATAAAAATCTGCGCAATACTAAAATAGTAGAATAATGAGATTTACTTTTACGAATTATTTGTGACAAACAAAAAAATTTAAAAAAATCTACGGATTTTTGTTTTTCTATTTAGTATTTTCATTTGACTAATGAAAAATAATATTTTTGTATCACCGATAAATTTACAGCAACGGTATTTTTAGCAAATAATAAATTTATTCTCACTGAATTATTATCTTTCAAAGTAATATAAGATCTTTTGATATTATTTCAATTATTAGAAATTAACGAATTGTTTATTTCTATATTTTAGTGGAAAGAAAAGAAGCGCCATAACTCATACATTGACGGATGAACCAACCAATTCATCCACCCTCAATCATCCAGCAGACTTGAACAGTAATGGAGAACAATCGACACCTGTGTATGAATCAGACATTCACACCACAGAAAATTGTTCTCAATGTGGAAAATAAAAGAATGTCGATGATTTATAGAAATTATTTCATGTACTTTTTCATTTTATGAATATAATATACATAAAATGATTGATAGAGTCACCCCCAAGAATTATTCTCTTTTCTATATAATATATTAAACTATTCAAATAAAACGACACTCCATCTTATTTTAACTAAAATATTGTTCATATAATAATTCTAATAGAGAATATCTTCTATATAGAAATATATCGAGAAAATTCCTTTTGAAAATACATTAATATACGTAACAAATCTAACATTCAAAGTTAATTTTAATTGTACTTCTAAATTGGATATTATTAAAGAAAGAAAATACAAGTGATTCATCGATATATTAGGATTTTGTGTCAAATTTAACAAAGAACACTAAGATTATATTCATTAGTTAAATTGAAATTTATCCACTTTGAAAAATAATCTGTATAAGAGTTTAATTGAATTCATATTGACTAAGGAAATGAGATCAGTGCGTATAATCAAATCTTCAAGCATCGATCTATTTATCTAAAAGATGGAAATTATTTATTTTTATACATTTACTATGATGTCTACGAAGAAGAAAGCAAGATTATAGATAACAAATGAGTGTGAATAATGTAATCATCTCTCACCTACCGTCAATTATTTGATTTTCTTCAATAAAATCTTTCTGTAAATTTCATATTTTGTTTGATTAATATAGAAATAGATTGAAAAAATAAAACAAATTTCAATGATGAATAAACAATATTTTTTAATGACAAATTAAAAGAATACCTAAAGAGATTCACGTGATTGCATAGAAAAGTCAACAATTTTTTCATCATGAACAACGTTAATATTATTACGAAGTAAATAAAACAATATTTTGGTCATGATGACGTCTAATGTATACGTCTTATCTAACAAAATGACTTGGCGTGATAAATATTCTTACGTGTTCTTTTATCTAAAATCAACGTATATGTAATACAGGAATAATGTTGTTTATTAAAATAACATTTTTATTTCTTTATTCTATTTCAAATTTATGTTTAATCACTTGTCTTCATTGCACAAATTGTACGGATATTGTACTATCATTCGATAATCATGGACAATTACCAAAAGAATGTCAAGACAAATTCGTTGAAGCGGATGCTTGTCAAGTTAGTTTTCGTATGAATTATATAACGAAAGAAATTCATTTAGATTTTACTCATGGTGATGATCCAAAAAGAAATTATCAATTAAATCTATCTGTCTTAGATAAATTTGATGAACCAAAAAATGTTAATGGTAATATTACATATATTTGTAAGACTGAAAATAATTGTGCAACATTATTTTATCAAACAAATCTACCAAAATTAATTCAAAATCAATACATATGAAATGAAATACGCACTCAACTCTTCGATCCAATGGCAGGTAATGTCGAACAATGTTCGAATAATTTCAATGAGCCTGTAATATGTCAAAATGGATATGGATGTCATGGATACGAAATAATTGAGAATGGAAAAAGAAATTATAGAGGAGAATGTCGAAATGCTAGTACAATGACAATATTTCCACGTCTATATTTTGAAATCATGCTTATACAAGGTGATTCACCTCTTTCAGAAGATTGGAATCATCTTGGTTTAACTTGTAATAAACAAAATTTATGTAATACTCGACAACAAATCAATAAAATGATAAAATTAGCAAATGATTTTTATCCATGGGAATATATTAACGTTAATTCGTGTGAAAAGCTTTCTATTAAATCTAATTATCTTTTTCTTCTAATATTATCTCTCTACATTTTTTATATTTAACAAATATATTTCATCTAATCGTATTAGAAATTCTATAGAATTTATTCTTTGAAAAAGTACAATCATTTAAAAGATTGTTAATATGAAATATTTTTAAAAATATATAAAGTATATACATTTCTTTTCTCTGCTATTCATACTACAAATATATTCATAGAAATTATTTTTATCAGATTTTATTCATTAAATATTGTCAGAACAAGAAATTTCGTCGACATATATATATGATTAAATTGAGAAAATGAGTATGTCAACAATTATTTTAAGCATACAAGACAATAAAAATGTGAACGATAAGATATACTAATTTCAAATAAGAATTTCTTTGAAAAAATTTACATTTAAAAAGTGAAACTAAAAAGAAAATAAGCAGTGGTTCTGTTGCAATGTTATCAAAAGAAAAAAAAGCTTGAAAATTAGTATCCGAATAAGCGCACTTCAGAACATTGAACACTATTTGTATTCTAACCTTTCTGTGCAACAAGAAATCGATAACTATTGTATTGAATTGAATTATCTATCGATTGTACCACTCCACATTCGTATCGATTATGAAGTTGTTTGAAACCAGTACTGCCATTGTAGACCAACGTCTAACTCGAACCGTGCACAGACTTGAAATCCTGTAATTGTTGATGCACCACGCTTTGATTCAAGATAAAAACCAGTATTCAAACAACACGTAGGCACTTGCATTATTGATTGATATTCTCCAAAATTTAAATATTTTGTTGAAATATCACCATCACATGCTTTATCGGGTGACTGATCGATGGGATATTGACAAATATCCGAGCCAGCGGTTACTGCATGACTATCACTGTCTGTAGTTGTATCAAACACACTATATACAATTCCATCAATACTAACAAGTGGGATTAGACCTAAAAATGAATTCAAACATAAAAATTATAGAAAAAAATTTCTTTTGAAAGAATTTTATTATTTTATAGAAAATTTTCTGTAAGTTGATGTCACGAAGGGTGATTGTTGTTGATATTGATATCGATGTTTGTTTTATTGTTTGTTCGGAATGATAATACCTAGTATTATCGCTACAGCACCAAAGATAGACAATATAATCCACACAATTGTTTTTCTTCTAATATGAAAACATCTAGGAAAATAGATCCTTTTTTTTCTCAATAGATCGAATTCTTCTGATACATACATTGTTTTTGATGGAACAGTTTCTGTCTGTATTAGATCCGAATCAACTGGATGAGACTAAAATAAGTTGAATAAATTTCTATTGTTTTCTTTTATGATACATTACATGAGCAATTCCTACTTCTGTTTTAGCATCTAATTATAATACAATTTGTATGAAATTTTTGTTCAAAGTAAAAACAGATGCATCTGTGACTATATTTCACATGAAGAGTTAAAGAATAAAAATAATAATAAAAGAGATTTTGTTGGAAAAGATCATTTAAAGAAAAAAAACTCTGTTCTTGTTGCAATTCACGTTTATTTTGTTAATTAAATCATCTTATAAAATATCCATGAACAAAGAATAATTTTCTATTTGATCTCTGAGTTTAGCCAACAAATTTGTACTCCTCTTTTTCCATAAATTAAATCGAGATATTGACAACAACAATTAACATCCTTTGTTTTATGATATTTCTCAAATAAAGATGAAGTGCATCTTTTTTTCATTTAATTGAGATCAAACAATAAAATCATAATACGAAACAATTGTAAATAGGAATATCAATAAGAAAACCGTCATTCTATAACAACATAGAACGAAGTTTATCGATGCTATTTGTTAAGAAATGACAATATTGAAAAACAGATTTCGATATTTCACTTTTATTTATCATTTGTTTTGCAAAATACGAAAAAAACGAATTGTATAAAAACGTTTTAATTATTTAATGATTTATCTTAATTTTATGTCATTTTTATTGAATAGGGATTGTATGATAGATTTCATATTTTGATATTTATTTCAACACTTGAATATTTAAACGATAAAATAATTTCAAACTCTTTCTTTTTCGTATAATGTGAATGTGGATATAGATACGGTATGAATGTGACACCCACACCCTCAAAATGTCAAGTTTTTTTGAATAGAGATGTTGATTGACGTCAACAGAACTTGAGAAATATATTTCAAGAATCTTATGTTGAATAGAAGTTTATAAAGCAATACGCTCATTGCACTCGCAGCAGGTGTGGCTTTCAACAATAGCTCAATCTTAATATCAGAGAAGAAAGCGTGATTTTAAGAATGTGTTTCTATTTTGCGTTTCGAATGACATAAAAGTATCACTATTTTCTTTCTCTAATTCTAATAAACAAACAGTAATTCGAGCCATTTCAATTGAACAAGTCAGAAGAAAACTAAAATGGATTTCGGCACACCATTAATTCGATCGATTATTTTCATAATTCTTTTGATTATAATGATTCCTTCTATAATTTGTTATATTTTCATCTTCTCTCAATTTATTCGATCTCGAGAACTTTTCAAACGATTAAATAATCATATTATTCTGGCTTTGTTACTCATCAGTTTTATTCAAGTAAGTTAGACACATTTGACACATATGAAAAATCTTAGTTTTTTTTTGTAGGTAATCACAGAACTGCCTTTGACACTAATTGTGTTACATACGGGATTTGTTGCTGTTCAATCATCATCATTTTGTCTCTTTTGGGTTGTTTACAATTATTCATTATTTGTTATTGGTCTTATGTACATGGCTTATGGATGTGTTGAACGATATTTTCTTATATTTTACCGAGCATCTTTTAACAAACATCTCATTTTGTTTCACTACATTCCATTATTGTTCTTACTAATTTATCCACCTTTACTCTATTTTGGATTGGTTGTTATTTATCCATGTCAAACATATTTTGATTATACACAAATCGTTTGTGCTGGTGCATGTTATCAATATGAGGTTAGTTTCATCAAAATATTCTAAATATCATATGTTTTGAGAGTAAATACTTTTCATTTCTACTTTAAATAAATAAAAGAAAACTATTGTAATATGATTATTTTAATTTCTAGTTTAGTCTTGGTTTATTCGATTGGTTTACTAATATTTGTACTCCTGTAGTTCTTAGTGTTATTGCAACAGCATTACTCATCGTTCGTGTCCTTATCCAAAAACGTCGAGTAAATCAACGAGAAATCTGGCGACGAAATCGTAAAATGGTTGTCCAATTAGCATCTATCTCTATTATGTATATGATCATCTGGATTCCCAGTGTTATTTGTTTTGTTGTTCCATTGATTGTTCCAAGTCCACTATCTTCTCAAGTAGCAGCTGGTCTTCTCAACTACTTTCAATACTTGTCGTGTCTACTCTGTCCGTTTATGTGTCTGGTCGTATTACCTGAAATACGTAGTTCTTTCAAGCAAATGTTCATTAAAGTGAATCGTGTGCATTTATCAACTCGAAATTCTACAGTACTGCCTACAGCTCTCCCATATCGTCATCAGAATGGATAGAAATGATAATTAAAAACTTGTTTCCGTTTTCATGATATTCTTAGAGAAACAAACTCATTTATTCTTCATTCATTTCTGTCACAAATAAATAATAATTTCAAAATATGAATTGATTCATAATTAACAGTAAAAAAAAGGCACCCTCAATAAATAAATTGATATATTTAAAAAAATCAACACAAATAATTTGAATAAATAAAAAGTGAAAAATTTCTTTTACATGAATTTTTGTTTTATCCGAAGAATATGATTTTCAGTATTTTTTCTCAATGGATCATCTTCTGACAAAAATATTTTTCTAATTTCTAATGCTTTCTCGAAATATTTCAATGCCTTTTCATCTTCTTTTAATGTTTCATATCTAAGACCAACACTATGAAAACTAATCGCAAGATCAGGATGACCAAAGGGTAATAATCGTTCTCGTATATTTAATGCTTTTAAACATAATTCAAGTGCTTTAACTTTGTCTCCTTGTGCATTTAATACATTGGAAATATTATTTAAAGTCATAGCAATTGATGGATGATCTGAACGACAACATTTTTCTTTCATAGTTAAAGCTAATTGATAATGTTGAAGAGATCGATCTAATTGATTTTTCTTGTGATAACATTGAGCAATATTATGAAGAGCATTTGCTATATCAGGATGATCTTCAGGTAAACATGCTTGATACATTTCCAAAGAAGAAATATAATAATTAAATGCTTTTTCAATATCTTTTGTCATTAAATAAACAAGACCAATTGAATTTAATGTTTTAGCTATATAAATATGATTTTCAGATAAATATGCTCGTTTAATAGTTAATGCTTGTTCATAATGATTAAGTGCTTCATAATATTGTCTTTGATCTCGATAACAAGATCCAATACTATGTAAACAATGTGCCATTTCAAGTTCATTTGAATCATTTAATTCAGTCAAGACTTGTTTAGCTCTAATACTATGTTCAAGTGCTTTATTATAATATCCTTGTTCTCTTAAAATTTGACTCATATTAAGTAATACATGTGCTGAATCTTTAACAAATGGTGGATCTGATCTTTTCATTAATCTATACGCTGTATTGAAATGATGCATAGCTGGACGAAATTCAGCTTTAGCTTCATAAATTAAACCAAGTTGATTATGAATATGAGCTGGATTTTCACTTCCGGGATCTTTTAATAACTGTAGAAAATAAGTTTCTGCACTCTTATAATGACCCATTCTCGTCATTAATCTACCAAATAATAATGCAACACTATCTCCTTCCATTTCTTTTCTTGTTTCTTCAATATATTGTTTAGCTATTTCTCGTCCATCATCTGTTACATTTAAACAAATTTTCCATAGATTATCTTCTTTACTCACAGTCTCAACTTTAAAAACAGTACCTAAATCAAATAGAACTTCTTGTTCATCAGGGAAATCACTAAATTGTGAAATATCGGCAAAAATTGAACAATTACTTTCATCTGTTTGACATTCGATTTGAAATAAAACTGGAAGAGTATCTAATCGTTTCAGATCATTTGTAGTAAAATGAAGTGCGATGGAACGTAAACGACTTGTAGATAAATAACCATTAATTGAAATAAGTTTACTTTCATTTAATCGAAATTGTTCAAGTTCAATAATTGTTAATTGAGCACCACGATAAACAGTTGTTATTATTTCTTCATGAGATTCTTCTAATTTCTTATGTTGATGTGCAAGAGTTGATGATAAATCACTAATATAAAATCTAAATGTATGTAATTGTTGAATATCTTCTGTACGTAATGCTTTATTAATCATTTTATAAACAAATGTTTCTTTTGTATACCATCGAATACATTCTTCACGTGAATAACATTTTTCAAATTCATTAATTAATTTTAATTCAATTTCATTTCCACGATAATAATTTCGACATGTATCAATCATTTCTTGTTTTGCTTGATTATTCGATGGAAGACAAATTACAACATCATGAATTAATTGAAACCTAAATAATAAATAATCACATTCATTTTTAAGAAAATCTTTGCAAAAAAATATCTTACCAAAGAAATTCGGCAGTTCGTTCCGATAAATCCATTGAAACAGTTTGTTTTTGATCATAGAAACTAAATGCTTCCATTTGTTTATTTAATGAACGAATATTTTTACGAATATTTGAATTAAGATCTTCTTGATCAATAAATATTCCAGCTATTTTGGGATATTTATCCAATAAATAGAAATATTTTCTTCGAACATCACAAATTATAAATATAACTTCAATTTGTTTCAAATCAATAATACGAGGTAAGAGAATATTAGCTGATGTTCCTGGTATGACTAAGAAAATCTTTTCATTTGTTACTTTTTTAATGTATGAAATACATTCTTCTTCATTTGTTTCAATTAGAACATAATCATTGATTGATCTTAATTTTTTTATCATGTCTGTTGTTTTTACTTTTTCATTTGGATTTGGATCTAACCAGACAAGTGTAATACTTTCTTTATTTTCTTCTGCTAATTCATCAATTACCGACGACATTTTGATCGTTGTATTCGACTAACAATTTTACATGTGTCACTTCCAGAAAATATTCGCAACTACAAAAAATAACGTCACTTTTTTATTTATTCATTTCGTTCTTTTATATTGTTGAGAAAAAAATAATAAATGCGCACTACCATACATAACACAAATCAGATCAAATCATTTCATTATGGCTTCTTTCCAATTCTCTCCTCATGACAAATGTACACAAAGCAACGATCGAAATCATCTCATTCCTCTCACCATTAAATTCAAATTTTAAATACGCATTTCAGTTTACTTTTTTGTGTACTCAAAAAGTGAGTTCACATATAGAATCGATCAGTGTGTCCGGCCGTTCACACGATAAACTAAGAAAGGAGAGTCAGATTATGATGAAATTTTGTGTACAGTTTAATCTCATCAAGATCTCGCTTAGGTTCGAAGTTGAGCGTAGTTGGACGATCCATTCTCGAGTTATTGAAAAAATACTGATATTTTCTTATGGTTTTCATATACACTTTCTGCAGTACACATATCTTGAGAGTGTGGGTGATTAACTTAAGTTTCACAAGTACACGCCTACATTGTAGAAGAAGCGTTGAAAAAATAAATATAAATAATAAATGTTACGTCCTGAAGTAAGAGTGTCGAATATATATATATTAACGCCATCTAAAGAAAGTAAAGGAAGAACTAAAACAGAAAACGAACGATAACAATCTATGTCCATACATCACAATGAAAATGAAAATAAAAGTATATTTAGTTAATTTTATCATTAAAATCAATGAGATGTGTCTTGTTTTTGTGTATTTAAAATTTAATGAGATTCTTCTAATTGAATTTCAGTAATTGATTGTCCATCTGGTAAATATGAAGGTTTAACTTTTTTAATTTTATTTATTTTAAATACAGTATAAGGCATAATTAATATTTCTCCTTCACTTGTATATTGAGATATATTTTCAATATGTAAAGCTGTCCGATGATGTTTAATAATATATTTACACATAATCCATGATTTTATAAGTGTTCCATCAACTTTAACACGTTCTTCATTATTATTATTTTGTCATTAACGAACAATCAACTTGATATTTATCAAGATCATCAGAATTTATTTTGATAACTCGACAAGCATTCCCAATAAATGCTAATTGATCTAAAATTGGATGATGATAAAGTAATGCAATAATATATCTTCGTTCATTTTGAGCTTTGGTAGCACCACATGCTATTTCAGTGTTCAAAGCTTTGTAGAAATCAGTTTCAGCTGTATAAGCTTTAATTATCCATCGTGGATCTTGTTCTTCTGTTGCTTTACGAAAGAAACGTTTGATATTTTCAATTCCTTTAAAATTAATCAATACTTTATTAATATAATTGTTTTCGATTTTTTCAAACATTTTAGGAAGAGTTGTAACTCCAGCTACGTTGTCATATAAATATTTAATATATTGTCGTTCTTCTGCTGCTTTGTCTGAAACATCGTCATCAATTAATTCCCATTCAATAGCACCTGTACTCGAAACCAATCGATTATTATTCGGTATACGAAAAAAAAGTTGTTTGATTTCATCATTTTTGGCTTCGTCAAAAGGTAAAAATTGATGTTTATTATGTATTGATCTGTCAGCTCCTGCATCAAGTAATAACTTTACAATTTCCGAATGACTATGATAATATGCAGCATGCAAAGCTGTGCTTCCGTTTGGTTTCAATTGGTCTATTTGTTCAAGTGTTATTGTTTCAAATAACTTTTTAACTTCTTCAATATTGTTTGTACGACAAGCTATATAAAAGTTACTACATTTTTTCGATGGGATTTTTGTCTTTGTTTCTTCTTCTATAGTTGGTTTTGGGTTTTATTCGACGTCTTTAACTGGTAATGATTCAATCAAATGTTGTCGCTCTGGATGATCTGATCGAGAACAAGAATCAGTGCTCTTATTTTTACGACGATTAAACATGTTTTTCTTCAAAAATTCAATTATATTTCCCATGTCAAGTTATCTGAAATTTCATATTTTTTATGAATAATTAATAATTTCGATTGAAAAAGAGTTTAGTATTGATGTTGATTAAAAATAGTTTCTTCAAATGAGATAAATTCTACTCACCTATACTAGATGAAAAAGGCAGTAAAAAGAAAAGCTTTTTCTACGTGTCACATGTGCTCTTTTCATTATCTAAAAACAACAAAAACGTGTTGGACAAATTAAAGTCGTATCATTTCGGTAAGAATACATCCATTCTTTTCTGTCCAAATAGAGACTTTTCTTTTATCATTTTTATTCTAAAAGTAATAATCAAGCAACAAAAATATTCATTTTACAATGCTTTCGACACAATGGAATCAGTTGTAAGGATTTCATGTACAATCACGTAAAGATAGACCATTATAATTAAAAAATTTGCATCTTTTGGATATAAAAAAATTTAATATATGAATAGAGGTTCAATCCCACTGGTTCAAAATATTTTTAAAACTGGTGAAAAATATTCGGTAGTCTTTAACGAAACATTCATTGATATAGATAAATATTTTTCAATTTCGAAATAATCAATCGGTATGTGCGGCAACGTATTGAAGTGGAATAGTGTTTATTGTGGGTTGTATTTGATTAGTATTATGAAATAATCTACAATGTAGTGCTAAACGACATAATTTCAGTAATTCTATACGAAATGTCCGAGATGACATCGTATACATATAACAAGCTAATACGGGATAACAATCGACAAGTAATTCAATCATAACACCCACAAATCGTTCAATAACTAATCGATTCATTGACTTTGTTGTAGTAAGTGTGATAGCATTATAAAAAAGCCATATCATCAAAGGTGTTGTTGCAATAATATAGAGAAATACTTGAGTGAGTAATAGAGCTAGAACTTGAATGTCACGTATTCGTTGGGAATTCATTACTTCATTTATTTCATCTCTCTTTTGACGAATAATAAATTGACGACGTTTCTGTTTCAGAACAAGATTACGATAAGTAAGTAGAGTGAAAATACTCATGAATAAAATGGGAAGAATACAACCAGTGATAGTAGTAAAAATACTATGATACAATGCTGTGGCTATACTATATCGAGGACCACAGATACCATTTCTTATACTATGAAACAGAAGTATATGTACAGGTAATACTATCCAAGCCAATACGATAATAATCACAACACGACGTGCAATATATACACGAGAAAAATTTCTCAATCGTACATTAGATGATGAAAGTGCATATCGATCAAAACAAGCTGCAGTTAAACTCCATCGATACATCATAGAAGTAGATTGAATAACATAATAGCGTATCTTACAAAAAGCAATTATTGTTGTCACTGGATCTACATGATTGTATGCATATATAGCATTTCCACTACTCATAATAAGAGTAATCAACATTGTTATCGATGCTAATATAAAATCTATACAAATAAATAAGATTCATTGGAAAAATATTTAAATAGATTAAATTACTCACATAACCGACAGGACACGGTGTGGAATTGTGGCCGAGAAAATAGTAAAACATTCAAACAGCAACCAACGACACCAAAAATAAGGAATACCGAAGATATATAACATGCGATTGTTTGTTGAACAACAAACAGCATATCATTGAGTGACATGGATGTCGATGACATTTAAGAAATTTCAATCATACTAAACTAAACAATAGTTGATAGTCGTCCGTAAATAATTCTTCACTTTTATTTTTTACATTAATCGACCTTTTCGAAACTATGACAATTCAGTGAAAAATATTATGAATATCTTTACAGAAATAGAAATTAGAATAAAAAAAATATTCTGCATATGTATTTATATTGCTGACTTACTTCCTAGAAGAAATATGAAGAAGATAATAAACAAAAAGAATATGTCTGTTATAAATTAGATATTAAATCTTATTAATTATCTATAGTTGTAAAGAAGAATCATACTCTATAATATAACGACAAATTACACATTGTAGATTAAGAATTGATTGAGAGTAATAATATGAACAGAAATAGAAATATTTTTCTTTTATCTTATTTAATTATAATATGCGAGTCACACAGGTGAATTAATCTTATTCAACACGTTTGGTATTATCTTATTGATGAAATAATAATTATAATCGTTCTCTTTGAAAAAAATGTTTTCAGTAATGATTTCTTGATGAAATATAAAGGTAAATGTCAATACTTAGAGATTCATATCTATGTTTTAAAGATTAAAATCAAGATAAACTATTATTTTCTCAAAGCAAAAAATTAATTCTTTACGTATTTCCACGATCTCAAACAGAACAATTTTTTCTCAAGTTTTTTGAGGGTGTGGGTTTATCTAATAATATCTATATTTTCATGTTAGGAGAAGAAAATATCTTATTTTTATTAATAATCTTGACATGTGAAAGGAAATAGGTGCAGGTGAATGACTTCCTCTTTCTTACAATAATATTTTCTTAGTAAACTCATTGAAAATAAATGATTATTTAATAATAATAACAATGACAAATGTAACATTATCAAATAGTTATGTGATCTATTTAAGTTTAGTTCTTAAACAATTGACTTTGAGTCTAATCATTCCATTAATTCTAGGCGTCGTAGGAAATTTGTCATCATGCATTGTATTTCGTCAAAAACAATTTCGTTCAAATGGTATGTCACTTTTATTTACAGCTGCATCGATCTTTAATATTATTGTACTTGTTTATGGTATTGGTACGAGTCTCTATGCTCTCGATCATATTAGTCCCGATACATATTCAATTATTTTCTGTAAAATACGTTTATATCTTCGACATATTTTCTTGATGATTGTTCGTAGTTATATAATACTCGCTTGTGTTGCTGCTTTTGCACTATCTTCTTCCAAAACAAAATTTCGTTCATTATGTCAACCACGATATGTTAAATGGTCAATATTTGGTGTACCTTTTGTTTGGCCATTGATTGCATTACATATGCCATTGTTAACAATTATTGAAAATAATCAATGTATTAATATTGATTCTTATATATTTCCATTTGCAATATATTTTTTTCTTATTGTTGGTGTTATTCCAGTGTTTCTCATGACTTTATTTATTTTCTTAACAATTAGAAATTTACGTTTATTACATAATCGTATTCAATCATCTATTGCTACTCCTGTCAAATTCAAACCACGTGATCGACAATTTATACGAATGCTTTCAGCACTTGTTCTAATGTATATTTCAACCAATCTTTTCTATCCTACTAATGTTCTATACTCGGCGATAACACATTGGACTTATAAAAGTCCCGAACGTATCGCTATCGAATCAATTATTTCGTCTGTGACTAGTAATTATATTCTATATATAAACAATGTGTCACCATTCTTTCTCTTTATCACTTCCTCAATTGCTTTTCGACGAACATTTTCTCATCTTATTCATAGATACATACGACGTCTTGTAACTAGAAGTCGTCGGATACATCAAACGCTAGTTACTATGATATCAACAGTATAAAATATACTCGGACGAATAGTTTTTATGATATCTCCATGTTATTGAACAATGTAGGTTAGTGGAATGATGAAATGATCTTGTTGGTTATTCACACACTCTGATAAAGATTAATTTCAATATGAAACATCGTTATAAACTGAGTACACTGACCAACCAATAGAAAGCAAGTGCGTTCTATGCATCGGTCAAGGGGTCATCTACAGAATACATTCCGTGACTTATAGATATGAAAAGGGAAAAAACGCATCTAAGCATCCTATGTTCATTATTTCTTTTTTTTCTTCTTGGTACACATATTCTCTTCAGACAATATGTCATCTTCGTTTCCTCCTGTAAGAATCAAAGAGTATTTAACTAAAGAACCTAATTGTATCATTAAAACGCTGATTACTTTCTGTAATATTGTTGGCATCATGTTAGCAGCTGCTGGTTTGAAAGAATTATATAAATCACATACATTTGTCTTTCATCATTGTCAAGTTAAATCAATTGATGTCAAAATAATAAAATCGGGTTATTATCCACAATGGAATATTACAGTATTCCATGAAAATCAAACAAAAGATGATAATCTTATTGCATTACATGGGTCATTTTTAAAAAGTCAAGCATGGAATAGAGCAAATCAATATAAAGTAAAAAAGAATTAAATCTTTTTACAAGATTAGTGTTTTTCATTCTTATTAGATCAATGAAACATATCCATGTTATCATGCAGAAAATGATATATCTATTATTAATTGGGGTTGGCAATGGGATAAACCGTCGAGATTCAAGGCAAATATTTGTTTATTCACTGGAATAACGTTAATATCGATTGGTGCAATGATTATTTTATTGAAAAAACATTATCGACAAGAAATTCAGCCAAGAAATGTTTAATAAACCAATATATGTCAGTTCTAATTTATTAATATTTGTTCAAAATCTTTTTGTTTATTTCAATAAATCCATAGAAATGAGAGAAAGTGAAAAAAACAATAGATTCTTTTATTATATTTTTCAGTTTTTTACATAACAATTTTCCTTTTGTTATTATCGTTTTAATCTCATTCATTCACACTCACACCCACACCCACACCCACCCAACCACACCCACATCCAAAATATTTTTTATCGTTCTAAAATGGTCAACTAGTGGGAACGACCAAATTACTCAGTCTCTTGGAGAAGAAGCTGTTTATTGATATAAAATTCAGGAATGAATTGAACTTCTAATGCATCATTAAAAAGAGCACGCTTTGTACTAAAAGAATCATTATCGGACGTGCTTTCCCATTCTTCATCTAATATAAAGAAACTGACAGAAAATAGAAAATGATATTGCTCGATCGTGAAGTTGCAAGAACGTTTTTAGATATGTTTGGTTTTTAGCTTTTCTTTCAGTTCAGATCCGTTTTGAAATAATATATCCCCTACAAAATTTGTAGTTCAGACAGACAGACATTACTCTTTTTAACAAAAAAAGTTGTATTGATTCAAAAGTTAGCAATATTGTCTAACAGAGTTTGACATTTTTCTAAAAACTTTTGTATCGTTCATTATATTATCTTGTTATTGTTTTTATTTATTATACAAAACGTGTTTTTTATTTAGATCAATAATGAAAAACAACAATAAAAAAAATGAAAAATAAAAGTTTTTTATTTGAAGTGATGAAAACGATCTTTTTTCTTTCGAGATCATTAATCATTCGTTCAACGAGATCTTTAAATTCGAATGTATTAAAAAAATTGAATTTTTTTGCTTTTTCAAGTAAATCTTTTTGTTGATCATCACTTTTATATCGATAATAAACTAAATCATTTTGATCACGTTTTAAAAATCGAATATCAGTTAAACTTAAACCAATATCTTTTTGTCAAGGTTGTAAATAATTAATTAAATCTTTATATAAAGTTTCATATGGAATTGTTAAACCTTTTTCTGAGGCATCTAAAGCTCTATCATCAATTTCTGCTTCAACTGCAGCAAGTCTATCACAGACTTTCTCCCATGATGAATGTCCTAATCAATGATGAAAAACAGGTTTGACATAATATTCAACATAGAGACTTGCAATTTCATTGGCTATGAGAAGACCATCAGTAATATTTTGTTTCGAATTAATATCTTTCATTTGTTCAATTAATTCATTTGTTGTTTGTTCAACTTTTTCAAGACGTTTAACTGTTGAATAAAATACTAAAACATGTTGTTTAAATATATCCAATATTTGTTTTAAAATATTGTGCATTTCATTTGGATTTATTTCAATTGTTGTAATCTTTATTAAATCATTTTCCATTTGCTGCAAAGATCATTTTAGATTAAAATTATTTCAGACAGAAATAAAAGAAGGGGATTCGAGCTTCCGTGTTCGAACTGAACACATCCTCAGGAATCACATTGTGAAATTTATTAGAATTAAATGAAATTAAATTTACGAAAAGATAATACGATACTAGGAATTAAATTGATGTTGTCGTTGTTATTGTTGTTATAAATGAAGTTGTCATTGTTGTTATAATTATGATATTATTAGCTATTGTTATAAGTTATAAAAGAGAAAGAAAAATAAAGAAACATGGCAAAATATTAAAGTAAATGAAACAGTTAAATTAAAAATAGCTAGGGTGTGGGTGTG